GAACCCTTCTTGGTTGTGGTGATTCTTTCCTGCATGGTACCCATGTCAGTGGCCAGAGTTGGCTGATAACCCACAGCAGAGGGGATACGGCCCAGCAGGGCAGACACCTATGAGAAATCAAATAAAAGCCAGTCAATAAAACACTCAATTCAGATTAAAAAGACAAAAAACAGGTCCAAATGATCCCAACGCTGACCTCTGACCCAGCCTGGGTGAAGCGGAAAATGTTGTCGATGAAGAGCAGCACATCTTGCCCCTCCTGGTCACGGAAATATTCGGCAACGGTCAGTCCAGTCAGAGCCACACGGGCACGGGCACCAGGCGGCTCATTCATCTGTCCGTACACCAGCGCCACCTAATGGGAACCGAGAGGAGTTTGTAACTTACTGCAATTCTTCAGGTAATAGATTTTAACTGGTGTATCAGAGGCGTTTTAGATGTTCAAGTTACCTTTGACGTGGTGTCCTTCAGATTGATGACACCAGACTCGATCATCTCATGGTAGAGATCATTTCCCTCGCGGGTTCTCTCTCCCACACCAGCAAACACGGAGTAACCACCATGAGCCTTAGCCACGTTGTTGATCAGCTCCATAATCAATACAGTCTTTCCCACACCAGCACCACCGAAAAGACCTGAAGAAATGAGATGCCTTTAGTTAGCTAAAACATAGCAGGATTCAAAGCAAGCAAATTATAAAACTCCATACGCCAACGCTTCAATTAAAGGGATAGTTCACCCAAAAATGAAAATGGTCATTTACTCGCTCTCAAGTTGTTCCAAGCCTGTATGAATTTATTTCTTCTTCTGAAGACAAAAGATGATATTTTGAAAAACACTGGTAACCAAACCCCATTGATTTCCATAGCATCTTTTTGCCCCATATTATGGAAGTCACTGGCTTCCAGCAACTGTTTGTTTACACACATTCTTCAAATGTCTTCTGTTCAACAGAAGAAAGAAACTCATACAAGTTTAGAACAACTTGATGAGTAAACGACCATTTTTGGGTGAAATATCCCCCAAAAAAATATAAATAAATAAATATATATAT